TGATGAATATAGATTTTAGATTTTTATATTGCAATATTTGTCAAATCATGGATCTGAAAATTACTATTATTTGTGTCTAAATAAACATAGTAAGCAGTTTTGGTAAAGACTATACCGGGTGATTCAATATTAATGTAAAACACTCTTTATTTTAAAAATTATTCACGTCATGGAAAATATTTTTTTTAACGTATTTTCAAAATAACATTTTTCTAAAAAAATGTAAGGATTTTTATAAATCGAAAAACTCAGATTAATAATATTCATAGAAAAATAAAAATTATGTCCTTTAAATGAGTGAACAGCTTCAAAATTATAACGATGAAGAATTCTAAAAATATAAATTTTCCAAAAAATTTTGTTTTGTAACAACTTAAATGTTAGACTATACAATTATGTAAAAGAAATATTTCAAAAACTTTTTTTTTTCTGGAATAATGAGTGTTTTACCAATGTAAGGTACTGGATCACTATCCGTATTCATGAGTTTGTCTAATTTAGAAAACAATATGCTTGTGTAAAGTTTAAACGTTTCTATATTATTTTTTTAATTTCTTGTTCGTTTGCTGGTTTGAAATTGTCTTTAGGATATAGCTATACGTGCCTACAGAGTGAAATACAATGTGTGGCTCGAATAACGTTTGAAATTTTGAATGCAGAAAACATTGAGTAAGAGGCATTTTAATGACCTTCGCACATAATTTAATATTTCTATGCTGGAATGCAATTTACATGGTAATAATGTATATAATATTGTACATAATACATGCTTATGTGTACGCCTTTTACTAATTTTACTTTGTGGCTCATATTAAAAAGTATTTAATTCAATTTTCAGAATATGTCAACTATTTAGTTACAAAAGTTATTATGAAAGTAACAAACAATTTTAGTTGCTATAAAATAAATGGACATTTTAAAGTCAAGCTAATTAGATTTGACTAAAGTGTATATACGAGGAGATTCACCAAGCACGCTCATCCCCTTTTTCATTTAATAATTTATTTATTCAAATTTTGATTTTTGAAATTCTTAAGTTTACTTAATTACCTAATTTCCAAGTACTTAGATTTTTTATAGCATTTAATTAGTGTTCTGTAATAGTGGAAATTTTTTTTAATGCGAACAACTTGATTTACTAAGGATTATAGTTCCATGATAATTGGAGCTTTTATGAATTAAAAATTACTGTAATTAATATTAATCTAAATATCAACATTTTGTATTTTGTACTATAATGAGTTGAGTAGGCGGCAGATAAATTAATATTAAGTACATTTAATATTTTTTCAAACCGTTTTTAAGGACTATTATTCTTAATGCATACATTTTAATAACGTATACTGATATACTAACAACTTATTAGAATTTTGGTTCTGTTCTGACATATCAATATTTTCAAAAAAATCATCCAATTTATGATATTTACAAAACAAGTTTTATCACCATAGTTAGCACCTTGAAAAGTGTACAAATAGTTAAAATTACATAATATTTTAATAAGTATCTGAAAATATATACTTAAGTATACTTGAAAATTACAAAAATCAGAATTTGAATAAATCTAAAAAAAAATAGGCGGAGGGGGGGGGGTTGTATATGCTTGTTGAATCACTCTATATGTATTTGCCATTCACTTGAATTTAGAAATTCATTATACTTGTTTCAGGCCAAGTTTGTGTGCATGTAGTGCGTTGCAGGTAATAAATGTATTGGAGCGTCAGACCTTGAAGTAAATAGTCTAATTAAAAAGCAGGAAATCGTGCGACCTGAACATATTTTGGTTAATCTTGGAAAGTTTCTGAGGACAAATTAAAGTTGATTTGAAATTTGTCCCTCAATATTTTGGGTTTCTGTCGTACAGCAGTACATTATCATAACAAGTGTAAACATACAATCCTATTAAATTTATTTAGAAATTTGGAAATTCGATTCTTGTGAATGTAATTTTAATATACGTCAATGTACAGGTTTCGTGTCTGATTGTTTTTAAGTGGTTTATGTATTATATATTATAATTATATTTCAATAGTTTAAACAATATTAAAATTGTCCCAAAATAGCGCAACAATATGAATATTTTTATTTTTATAATTCAAAAAGTAGAATAATATATAGTAATTATAATTGAGCATAGGATCACACGATCATTTATTTCTAGAACATATTTTATTATTTATGAATTTGTGATGTGATGTTACTATTTTATCATATTGATATTTATTTGGGTTTGTGGTATAATAACTACATGTCTACATATTAAACGGTTAAAATAGATAGACGCATACTTTTAGAAAAATGTAATAGTTGTTAGATTTGAAATGAAAAATGATTTATAAATGTAGTATGAAACTTAGGTTAGGTTACCTATATACGTATATTATTTTAATATCCAAAATTGTAAATGTTCGTTAATTTTTACTACAAGATCATATTGTGATAGAAATATATAAATATAAATACACATAAACCCAAAACATAGTTCGGTTGTAAACAAATAAATATTGTCTTTGGTAAAATGTTTTCATTTTAATTCAATATACATATACATACATATTCGTAGCTATGCCGTAGTTGCAATTTAGTTTTTACTTAAAACGCGTATTTTACTATATATTGTCTGCCTTTGAATCGTTCTTAATAAACAACAGAGTTCAATGGTGTTTTGTTTAATACCGAAGAATTGAATCCATTCCATTTTATCAATTATTGTTTTTAAGATTCTTAAAGTATATTCGAAAAATAACGAAGTTCTTACATTATAAAACAATAATAATAAACGGTATAAATTTGCCACTTAGAACATATTACATGTTTAACACAGCATAATAATAATAATATATAGAAATAACCATAAAGGTTGATGTAGACATTATTATGATTTTCCTTTACTACTCGAATACTGAGCACGGTTGTGATATTTATTTACCTGAAACGAATGAAAAACGTATTCTCGGGAAAGCAGAGAGGAATTTAACTGTTTTAATGGAATGTATTGTTACTAAAATATGGGATTTCGAGAAAGGAAAAGCACTTGTCCAAACAATACACACGACGTGGATAGGGTACGGGGTATTATCATACACTAATATCACGATGGACCAAGTCCGCCATGATAGTCTATATACCGTGAAAGTATTACGATTTTGAGTACCTACCCGCAGATAATGCATATTGTTTGTTACACAAAATATTATTGAACCTTGGCCGCCGTTGTATTAATAAACATCATCGGATCACGAAAACAAAACTTCAAAATAAATTTATTTTTTACCATCGTGCCACAGCCAGTGATATTTATCAGTTATTTTTCACGTTTGTGAAATCACCGAGGACGAGCGTGAGGGAAAAAAAACTAAAGATACTTTTAACCATGACATTTATTATATTAAACCTAACCATTACCATACAGATGCATAACTAAAAACTTTAACTATGTATGATTATTAAGGTTGTTATTATGTTAAACTGTTTTGTAATGCTATTCTATTATTATTGTTTGTACTTTATCTAGATATTTATTAATTTTTACGAGTATTTGTTTCCCCTTTATTGTTATTTCATTATCATTTATATAAAACTATTATTTCTAGTCGTAGTGTAATTCCAACTATACTATTTACCACTGGGCCCAGGCCCGTTTTGTTCAATTATTTAATTATTTGAATAAACATTATTATTATTATTATTATTATTATTATTATTATTATTATAACACGAAGAGTGCCTATGATATAAAATACTACAACATGGTTTTCTATTTTATTATAATATAATAATAATAATATTCTATTCAGTATTTCTGTAGCAATATTATATATTTATATATGTGAGCAAAATTTGAAAATTATCAGATCGACATCTGAATTCGATGAAAGACGACATAATATGCATTACGTGATTTATGTATTTAGATAGTTTTATAATTATACAATTAACCTATTTGTATTTGACATTACACACTTTTTGTTCATATTTCTTCTCCAAGAAATATATTATTATACTAATACTACAATGATACTTTTGCAAGATGACTTTGCGACATTAGTCTTTATTATTTTTATCATTAAAAATTAAAAATAATGATGTAGCTCAAGATGAACAAATTATTATTCTATGGTTCATTAAAATGTAAACATTAATAATGCATAGGGCTAAAAATGTGCTTATTTTACTAAATTTAATCTTTAAAAGTTTCGATTTTCTTTATTTGTATGGAGTTCATATATTTTAACTTAGATATCCCTTTTTGTACGTGACCTAATTTCATACTATTTACGGGATTCATTTTGTTTTATCATCAAAACATTTGCACGTGACAGTAATTTAAGTGTCTGAAATATAAATTTTACAGTATATTGGAAAAATTGTATTTAAAAACATCACCATTTCGTTAAATGCTAACATAGTTTTCAATAATTAAAAAAAAAAAAATCTTTTAAGGTTAAAAAAATAGATTCTAATAATATTTTACATGGTGATAAATTATAACTAAAACAGTTTAGGTGATATTAAGATATAGGAAATTTATTATTTTTTTCACACAAAACAATATTTTTTTAATTTTTGTTGAAAAACAATTTAATTGAAATTGCAGGTATTAAAGAATTTCTATCACCCAATGTTTCGCTATTATTATTATTTTTTTTTTTTTGAAATATTATTACGATTTTAAGTTCCTCTTTTATTAAATTTTAAAATAAAATAAAATAGTTTAATTTATAATTTGTTATGTGCATAATAATATTTTTTAACATATAGTCAAACGACCAAAGCAAATAAACAAACCAATTCAAAAGAATCGTTTAGGTTAATTATTTTTTGATTACATTTTAATTTTATTACAGTATCTCGAAATCATAAATACCTATATATTTTATCCTGAAATGTTTTCGTTATATTTTTAATTGATTTTTATATACTGATAAAACTTGTGCACAAATGTATAAAATTATTTAAAACACTTAATGTTCTAATAAATTAAAAAATATAAAAAATACCTGAGCATATAAAGTATATCTCCATCAGGTTTGATACGTATTAACACGTTGGGCACAGTAACGAATTGGAATTCTGCGTGTTTTGCATTTGGGAAGTAAACTTCAGGTTTCCAGATGGCTTTGACTAAATTTGGATCATTTAGGTCCAGCGATTCCGTTATGTCTTTATGTTGCAATCTCGCATCCTGCCACTTTTGTCGCAAATACAGGTCAACCTCGTAGTCCTGCGAAACAAATAATTCGTTTTAAGTTGTTCAAACAGTTAATTATATCAACGTATATTAGTCAATTGTAATTAATTTATATTCGCGTTAAACGAATACTATTGATTTTGTCTGTACGTATAGTATGGTATATTATATATATTACTGCTATGAGTGGCACGAATACGCTATGGTAACTCCAAGACATTTTATAAGACATAGAAATCAATGTTAAAATCAAAATCAATATTTATTGAGCAAATCATCATACGATTAAACCTATACAGTAGGTTATGTTTTACCTTTATAAACGTACATCATATGTATAAGAATTGTAAAGAGAATATATACACACGTTAAAGTCAATCTAACAATTCTAACATACAATGATTCAAGTGGCGTATATAGGATTTTTTTAAGAGAGGTGTCATAAAAATACTTACATTTAAAATGACGTAGGCAAATTAATATTATATTATTATATATTTATTGTTATTTTTTGTTTTTATTCAAGATAAATAATCTATACAATGGAAGCTAAATACGCTTATATGCAAGGGGCGAAAGTTGACATGAAGTGGCTGACCAAGCAATTATCTATTAGCGACACTTATCTTGATTTATTTTTGCATTATTTGTATTTAATTTTGAAACCTAAATTAGGGATACAAGTTATATGTATTTATAGTAGGTCATGGCACCATTTTATTTTTAACCTGTGTTGAGGGATCTCTGATAGTATTAGGATGGAGAAATCCTTTATAAGGGGGTTGGGACGATTTTTGAGTATGTGAAAATACGTATAAAACAGACTTGTTTCTTATATCCTATTACTAGGTATGTATAAATTAAAATGAAACTAAGGTGATAATAAAAATTATAATCTAATAAAAACAAGACAGTAAGACACTCATACATTTTATAATATAGCTATGAAAATATAAACCTTATACTGATAGTGTGTTAACAATGTCATACTCCCTTTGATTGTATCTATACGCTATCTACTGAATGCCTCTCTTTGAAAATAAAAATTTCGGTATTTCATTTTTACTATCAAAGCACTAATGATTTTTATCTGACTATATGCTATCGACATGATCGCGCAGCAGATACACGTGGAAAAAAGTAGGGCTATATAAACGCGTGTATTTTTTTTTATCAAACGCGTTGTTTGCAAATTTTACTGTTTTCGAAAAAAATAACAATAACAGTACCCACCGCCGAAGATTTCCACTATTGTTATAAGGTGTTTGAATAAATATGACACTCGTATTCAAATGGTATGCATTACATTATATTATATGAAAAAATAAAATACCACGAGAGTGCAGAATTATTATTACTTATTTTCTCTGTCAACATCGATTCTCCATTTTACACACGTGCGTATTTGATTTTTCTCATTTTTCATTTTAAACGTGTACCGCTCATACACCTATATATGCATTATTATGATACTTGAGTATTTTTCAAGACGCGAGATAAGTCCACAAAGTTTTGTACGAACTAAAATGTATTTTCGTTAAAAATGTTTTTATCACGTGGGACGACAATCCACACTGCAGGTGAGTAAAAATTATATTTTATTGGATGCGTATTATGATTTTAATAACAAAACACGCCAGTTTGTTGATTTTATACAAACTGAAGCACATAAATAATATCTCCTTGAAATTAGAGTGGTGTTTTTTTATTGTCATGTCGCCGATCCGAACATTAATTAATGTTGGATAGGACCTAAATTCGGCGTAAAATAATAACAAAAATACATATAAGAGTATATAATACGTTATTGTCATTTCTTATTTTCTATTAGTTAATTTTTAATAGCAAATAGTTACTGATTTTTCTAATTCCATTTAACATCGGGAAAAAAGTTTTATTAGGCACCTTGGATAAACTTTGTTATTAATTCGATGAAATCAAATAAAAAACTTTAGCGTATTCGGATGTTTTCCTGCTAAAAGAACTTTTTTTGAGGATTCCCAAGTGGCGTTGATGTATGTACTATAAATGTGTGCTGTTAGGTAACAATGTTGGAGAAGGAATTTGTATAGTAGTAATTTAATGTTTCGAAATATAAATAAAATTAGTTAAATTTACTGTGGTAAAATATATTGATTTTACAAGATAGGCTTAATTTAGTTGTTTTATGAAAAATATATTATAACATATAACATATAAGGTGCGAAAATTATGTGTAGCAATTTTTTTAGCCACATCTTTATCAAACAGTTAAAGGTGACCTCAATACTGCACATTTTTAAGATTTATTTATTACAATTTATGCTACAATAGGTAGATATTGAAAATAAATTATTTTTTTGAAGAATAACTATATCGCGTATAAAAATTGTGTTTTCAGCTTTAACAACAACATACTTGGAACGCTGCACAACTACAGAATACAGATACAATACCAAAAATATTTATAGTTAGGAAAATTGATTAATTAGAATAAATATTTTTGAAAATTTTAAACATACAAGTATAAATGTAGGTACTGTTGGAATGTAGATATTACTTTACATTATTATCATTTAATTGTTAATTTAAAGTTTATTTTAAAAGGTTTTTTTTACCTTCTTATTCGATATAAACTAGGCACTATATAAGCTTAATCGCGTAAGATTTGGTAAACATACTATTTTGCCCAAGTGACTACTATAAAGTTTGAAAACCTATGTCAGCGGGAAAATGTAAAACACGCATCCCTAACACGAATACTGGAATTTTCGTAAACGTATACTAATATAATATACTTCCTTCCATACAGTTTAGAAATGTGGATCACTTGTCTTAAATTTGAATTTTGTCGCATAATCTAACAGTTGGAATGAAACTAAGGGTAGAGGTTCAATGTTTGATGTTTAAAGTTCTAGTGGGACTACTTTTTTGTATATATCATTCAAAAAATCAAAATTTGTAGTGCCTATCATTTTCACGATTCTGTTTGAAAAATACATTCATTTTTAAGAGGATACTACATACGCATGTGTTGTCTTCGTCATATAAACGTACAACGTGGCAAATTTTTACGTTCAAAAAAGTACATATTATGTACTTTTTAAAATACCCATACTCGTAGTTCGGTTTGAAATTAAAATAGACTAAAAAGCCTATGAAGTTGACCTGGATAGTAATAATTTTTTATTTATGCATTTTATAAGAGGTAATTCCATTATAATTTTAGAAAATATTGAGTTTAATGTATTGTTTTGAACGTAAAAATAGCCATGTTGTAGGTTATTAGGTTTGTATCACGTATATAATATGACCATGATTAAGTTACTTATTTTTTACCATTTATTTTGAAGGTTATAATTTATCAATTATATTTTTCTATAGTTAATTAAATATGTGATAATACACGGTGTTTGTTATTATAGCTAGTTTTATATTTTAATTGTGATGGATGGATAAAAGAAACACCATAAGGTCGACAACAAAGTGAAGATTATACGCGAATAATACCTCAATTTGTATTTATTTTATTTTTATAAACCTAAACTTCGAGGTAATAAAATATTGAGTTAGGTATTAGATATTATACTTATATTGTCATAGTCATTGTACGTCTTCGTTGCATTAATTTAAAAATTTAAATATTTTTATACATAAAAAATTGTTCTGTATGGAATAAACAGTAACAAGATTTGAAAAATATCGTATCAATAAAATATTTATATTTGTTTCATCTAATGAAATGTATATTGTAGTTACATACTATTATACATAGTAAATATTATAGGGTAAAAATATACCTAACATGCATATATTTTGTTAATATTGATAGAAAAATATTTTGAAAATAAAATAATAAATATATAAAGTTTTTTTAAGTAATTTATTTCTCAAATAGGTTATAAAAAAAAACGAATTGTTTTAAAACGAAATGGATAAATCAACTTATTAAATGTTGGGTGTTGTTTTATGATTATATCATGTTATTTATGAATTGTCTTATGACTAATTAAGGATATGCAGACCATAAGGAAATAATAAAAACTATGAGCGGTGTTTCTTAGTAACGAAACGTTGTATGTTGAATGATTTGTTAATTTCAAACAATATTAACGTAAATTTATTTAGCGACAAAATTTTACCTTTTAAATTGTTTCAACATGCCTTTACAATTAGTACTTTTCCACTCTTGTTTCCATTTACAGAAGATTTGATTAATTCAATCTCTCTCTTTCTCTCCCGAAAAAACATCGATCGTACAACGTGATCCTATAAAGCTATAGCTTATAGCCTTAATGACGAAAGTTTAGGTTAGCCCACTTAACAAGCTCCTCAAATACCAAAATATTTCACTGCAATTCAATTATAAAAAACCGGGATACTCGCTCGGCCATATAGTACCATTCGAGTGAAACTTAAGTCTCGTCACTGTTGTGGATGTGGTCAATTTGAATTCAACTATGGTAAATAACGAAGTTACGAAAAATATTCCGAGCGGAGCCTATATTTCTAAGAATAATTGATAATTGATTATTTAATGTTTTTTTAAGTATTGTTATTAGTCATTAATTTTTCTATTACTAATGCATGTGAAGTTAAACTAATTTTTACAAAAAAAAAATCCAGTATTATATTACAAAGTCGTCGTTAGCTATTGTAAGTCAATATCGACGTAGTACGAAGAACAGTGTAAATAGGGCAGTGAAAGATATGATTAACCTAAAGATTTTGATCATTTCATGTGTTTAAATAAAATATTTTAAATATTAACGATATATAGTTTATGAATTACATACAACAAATTAACAAAAATGGTTATTTTCACTAATTTTATCTAATTTTAAAATTTAAATCTTACGAAGAAAAAATTATGCAAACATATTTTCAAGGTTAGGTTGAAATAACAAATTATAAGGAATAAATAAATACATTTTGACTTAGAAGCAAGTATAGTCAATATCTATCGTAAAAAATTCAAAAAATTCAAAACGTTCAAATGTCTATAAATTGCTCAATCAGAGATGAAATAAAGTAGTCTGGTATAAAATATATAT